GTGGCTTATGTACATCATTTAGTAATGAACACGTAAGTTTACTAACTTAAGTACTTAACAATGGTTCACAATCACATCATTTGCACGTAGACAAAAGATTACGGAACCGACAACAGAAAAAATCAATCTATATGTAAACAATACGTATTTCAAGTAATACTGCATAACGAAACTACTCAAGTCTGGGATATAATGATCAGCAAGCGGTTCACATTATCATAAATGTCATAAGACATAGCTTTTATATGTACATCATATACACATATCCATGAACATTTAATAATGGACATGTATATGTATTCATTTTATGTAAATCTGTGAATATACCTGTATAGGGTAGTGTGAGCAACTAACATGAAACAAAAACAGTTTCTTTACAAACTAGAAAAACTATATAAAAATATTGTTTATTTAGCACAAAAAAAAAACAAATATAAGAACACAGTTTCTTGCGTTCAAAATAATAGCAAGCCAATTGGTTTAAAATAGAGATTTATTGACTTATAAATGTTGGTTTGTGCGTACCATGTCTGTCGGCAGAAGGTTGCCACATTAATTCCACCAAAAATATGTCTGTTCAAACTTATTATAAATGCGGAGATTGTGTATATTTAGCGTTCAAACTTATCTTTAGATGTTTCAATTCATGCAGTTTACCAAATAGTTCGAGTACATACAGTCAGCTATCTATTGGCATTATTTAGAAAACATTCAAAATTTGAATCAAATAGTATGGTGTTTTTTCTTCCAGAAAAATCATATTATACATAAATGCATTTCTACCAAAACTGATCGGGTATATAAAAACTCCACTCAGTAAAGAAAAAAACAAGCTTCGTCAATAGAAATCTTAAACCAATGACGAAAGGCACCAAAGGCCAATCAGTTGAAGTAACGTGCCATTCAGGTCGGACCAGGAGTCCACGTGAAATCCACGTCACATAACCAATGGTTACGATCTCTTTGATAAGGTTTCTTAGAGCACCCCATCAAGGGATGATAGGGGAGTTCACACGCAAACTGATAAAATATATAATATTAAAATCAGATTTTTATAAACCTCTCTCTTAAAAGTTCACCGCGGTGAACCCCGATAACCCCGGATTCACTACGTGTTAACACGTGATTGGTTAATTTTTTTTTTTAAGTAAACGAAAATTAAAAAAAAAATATTTTTTATTTGTGTGAACATCCAAAGAGGATTCATCAATGTGGATGTTCTTATGCTAGTCAACAAAAGCAGTCTCCTTTTTAAACTCTCACATGTGTATTTTTTGTCTTTGTTTATTACTCATCACTATTCTACAATATTAATACTGATACTAATGCTAATACTCTCTTCGTTTTTATATACTCCCTCCGTTTCATATTTAGTGTCGTTGTAGAGAATTTTTTGCGTTACAAAATAAGTGTCGTTTTCGGTTTTCAATGCAAAATTTATTAATTTTATTATATAATTTGTTTTTCTATTGGTTGAAATATGGTTAGGTGTATGGGTAATTGTGTTTTTATATAGGAAATATGTAAAATTAATTGTTTTCTTAATCCGTGTGCACAGCTGTAGAGTGACACTTATAATGAAACAGAGGGAGTATTTGTTATTTTTAAAAAAAATTGTTCCAAATTATTTGTTGTTTTTCAATTTATATATAAACTATTAATAATTAAGGTTAGAAGATCATAATCTCTTCAATAATATTATAGTTTTTTTATTTTTTTATTTACTGAATTATAATTAAATAAATAATTAATGATGTTTTTACTTAGAAAAAAATACATCTTAATCTATTTGCATAATTTTAAAAAGTCAAATATAAAAGACGAAATAAATAATATTTTATCTTAGGGCAGCCAAAATTAATATTAAATAATTTTGATCTAGCCAAATAAAAAAAATGTAACTTGAAGATTGACGAATTGTCATTTAAGTATCTTCTTCTCATATCTGGCTTTTAAAAACTGTTAGTTCCAAAATTATTACTATTTTAAAGAACGACTAAAACAGTTAAAGAGTCACTATGAAAACAGGTAAATCTTAAATATTGTGTATTGAGGTTTCTCCTCAAACTCTATTTTCTTATTCTTGGTCAATCATTTTAAGAAAAATTTCATCAAAAGGTTGTTTTAGAGACTATATAGGCGTAACTCAATATTTTTGGTATTCATATAGGCCTAACTTTCTAACTTGTGTTATTGTTAATTTATTTTATTTTATTTCCAAACCATCACATTCGAGTAATGGAAAATCAGCTTCCACCAATCAATATGTTTTGTTGCTGAAAAAGACATTTCGCCAACACAACATCTTTTTAGTTGATAAAAAAACTTCTTTAACAGAGAGATAAAGAGTTAATCAACTATAAAATATGCCAAAATGGTCAATTTGTTCCAAATATATGCCGACTGTAAAAAAAATAACAAAACTCCCTAGAAACCAGTCAAAACATATCACAGTTAAAAACTAAATTTTAATATATAAGTTCTTGATGTTGATTAAAAATATAAGTTCTTGTGTGATCAAGAATTAATATAATCACATGCATTAGATCCGCAATGATAATTCTGAAAATGTTTGGTGTCCAGTGAGTTAATTAAACATATTTCACGCTTTATGTCACATATTTTATTTATATGTAAGAAGTGGGCAGGGAGCCACGCATTAATTCATTTAAATTAAAGGACCTTAATTAAACACTATATTTAACTAGTTTTGCTAAGGTGGCCTAAGTTAGGCCATGTTTTTAATTACCACCCCACTGGATTTAATTAGTAACGCCAGCCTGATTATTCCCAACACAAATAACAGTATAATCTTATTAAGAAACATACATATATATATGTACTTGTATGTATATTTTCTTCTACCAAAATGGTGCGATGGAAGATAAAAATCCAAAAAGGATTGAGTTGGGATATTGGGCAATATAGGATAAAATAAGCAAGGAGTATGCATGCATGGTGCTGGCCTTTTCGTCCTGCAGAGAAAAACAACTCACTCGTTGTCTTTATCCCACTTGCATTTTTGATGACCCAATTCTTCATTAGACGACATTGTCACATTGTTGCAATTACACCAAACTCATTTTCAACTAAATGTATGTTGCAATCTGACTTCTTAAATTACGTCTAAGTAAGTCAAACGCATGAAGCTATCTTGCCACTGAGACGGATCAACACTGTATTGGTAGGCAAACGCATATTATTGTTTTGTATTTGTAATTGGTGGGAACGGGCTGAACATGAGTGAGTTGTGATGAACCACTAATCAAATAGGTAAGTGTCTAGATCGTTTTAACTCACTAAGATCAGTCTTCAACAGAAGACATAATAATTTATTTGAGGAAATTGTCTTTAAATATGGATAAGTAATTACTTTTGTTTGAAACAAAAAAATGGATGGGTAGGACCAAGAAAAGGAATGGACATTAGGTACTCTGCTCCGTACAAGAATATAGCTTTGGGTAATACGATGGATTCATCTCCCCTTCACATACAATCCTCCTCTCTCGATCTTCTTTGTCCCCATTCTTATTATCCTATATGTTTAATTATGATTCGTATAATTGATCAATAATTGTGTAGAACTCATATTGGTCATAGCTTGTGAAACGTTCAGAACAGCAAAAGTCGACGTTTTATGTTATGCATTCACACCAATTGTCTAGTTTTGATCAAAATTATTCTTGTACTAAAAAGGGATGTCATAATATGTTGGGATATTGTTTATGTTATACCTTCTTCTTAATTAATCAAAGCTTCACACAACGTTACGTTAAGAAGGGACTAGTCACTCTAAAAGATTAGGAAGTGTTCCATGTCGCTGTAAACCCCAAAATATAGGTGGCAGTTAGAGTGTAATCTTCGCTCCAATTGATAGTGAAGTTCTTAGATTAACTAGTCTACCTTACCCCTAAGTTTTAATTTGAGGTTTCTTATACATGTTAAAAAAATGTAGCTTGATAGATCTCGTGTCCGAGTTAGAGGAAACATTAGTGCAATGTATAGAATTAGCATAGGAAAGCTGATGAACGAATCTACGTACAAATGTAAGTGCTTAGAGGATAAAACCAAACTGAAGTAGCGATGGACTTGTAGGAAACATAGAGAAACCAATGATCATAGTCACAACTAAAGCAAACAAATTACATAAAAATGTATAGAGAAACGTCACATACCAAATATGGAATGGCAAATAATAGTTTCAGTAAAAGTTTCAATCAAAGAGGGATGCACAATTTAAATAGATAATTACCACAAACAATAGAAAAGAAGGGAAGGTCCAAAAGTCATGTGAGCCCCCTCCCCACTTGGCTCCCTATTCTATCCTCATCTTTGCTACACATTGCCCATTATTCATTTCTGTCTTCTACATATCTCTCTCAACTAGTCAACTCTAAACAGTAACTCACACATATAATTTTTCCAATTCTCCATTTCGATATGGACCATTCACTTCACTGGATATACAAATTCCCCTCTCTTTAATCTGCTAACAAAAGAAGAGATACTAAAATTCATCATTTTTTCAGTGTATAACATGGTATTTTCGATTCTGAAATGCATCAAGAATCTCATTGCTAGTACTAGTATTATTCTTTGTCTCCTAGTCAAATTTTTCAGAAACAACAGATTCCTTTTTAATGTCCATGTTCTGAATGCATTTGATACGGCCACTAGTAGTAGTACCCATATTTTTTGGACTGGACCCTCTTTTATCTATTCCCATGAAACTTCCTCTTAAACTATTTCATTTTGCTATTTTTGCAAGACTTGACCCCACTCTTCTGCATCTTCCCCACTTAATTACTAAAATTTCAACTTTTTCTTTATACGTTACCCCACATTTTACATTTATCTTTCTATATCCTATCATGTTTTAACAAATAATATCAAAGGGAACATACATGACTTCCCTCTATATATACATATATATATACTTACTCTAACCACATCTTGTCATAAAGCAACACATCCCATCTCTCTATTTTACGTTCAGACAAATGGATTACAGCTGTCTAGACGACAACACTAGCAACAACACTTCAGAAACTCTCTCCATGTCTAAAACCACACCATCTCCTCCTCCTCCTCCGACAGCGATGCGTCTCTACAGAATGGGAAGCGGAGGAAGCAGCGTGGTTCTTGATTCAGACAACGGCGGCGTCGAGACAGAGTCACGTAAGCTCCCCTCGTCGAAGTTCAAAGGCGTCGTCCCTCAGCCTAACGGAAGATGGGGAGCTCAGATTTACGAGAAGCATCAGCGCGTCTGGTTAGGCACTTTCAACGAGGAGGAAGAAGCCGCAGCTTCTTACGACGTCGCTGCTCGGAGATTCCGCGGCCGCGACGCCGTCACGAACTTCAAGTCTCCGGCGAGTGATGCGGAGTCCGCTTTCCTCGAGGGGCATTCCAAGGCCGAGATCGTTGACATGTTGAGGAAACACACTTACGCCGACGAGTTTCAACAGAGTAAAAAAAAGTTACTTGACGGCGGTGGTGACGGTAACGGAAAACACTGTGTTATTAACGAAAACGACGGCGTTTTGAGAGATTTTCTTTTCGAGAAAGCGGTTACGCCGAGCGATGTTGGGAAGCTAAACCGGTTGGTTATACCGAAACAGCACGCGGAGAAGCATTTTCCGTTACCGGCGATGACTACGAAAGGCGTTCTGATTAATTTGGAGGACAGGACAGGGAAAGTGTGGCGGTTCCGTTACTCGTACTGGAACAGTAGTCAAAGTTACGTGTTGACCAAGGGGTGGAGCCGGTTCGTTAAGGAGAAGAATCTGAGAGCTGGTGATTTGGTTTGTTTCGAGAGGTCGACCGGATCGGACCGGAAATTGTTTATTGATTGGAAAGTTCGGTCTGGTATTGGGCGAATTGATCCGGTTCAGAATGTGGTTAGGCTTTTCGGGGTCAATATTTTCGATGCGACGACTAACGACGTCGTAGCGGAGAGCGGTGGCAAGAAGAGATCTCTGGAAGTTGATTTGTTCGCGTTAGGATGTTCCAAGAAGCAGGCCATAATCAACGCTTTGTGACCATTTCATTTTTCATTTTATTTTTTTTCACATTTATTCGCAGAAAAATCTATCAAATTGGCAAGTTGTAAATTAGGATAAGACAAGTAAAATGATGACTAGGAAATAGTTTTTTTTTTTTTTTTGCTCACATCTAATTTGGGTTTGTTTTTGGCCGTTAATGAATATGATGTGTTCATCAAGTGAAAGAAAAATGAATGTGTTTTAGACCTTATCTTATCTCTTTTGGGTCGGAAATATTATATCTTTTCATCTTCGTTATATAAATCCCTTTATTGCAGTGTTGTCAATTTGAAACATATACTTGTTTTGAGTATTTGGCCAAACTAGTATTTATGCATTTAGCATACATTACGGAGGAAATATCTTATATGATCAAATAGAATAATTTAATGTCAGCATGTCCAGTCAAAAACGTGGGTGGGATACGAAGATCTTTTAATGTGTTTGCGATGCTTAAAAAGAGAAGAACAACGTCGATTAATGTTCAAAGATTCTGTACGTTTTCTCAAAACTGAAGTTTAAAAACTGTATTCGTGTACGATCTGTTGAAAACACTGACCAACAGATCTTATTCATTAATAACATTCACGGAATCAAAATTAAGATTTTAGAACCACATTCATGCATCTTAATAAGAGGATCTTGCTTGTTCCACGAAGCATAGTTGTTTAAAAAATAATCAATAAGATCTTATAGGCTACTCATAATGTATGTGGAGGCTGGTTCTAGCTCAGATCATAGGAAACTGTTAGGTGACTGAGAACAAGGCATATATAGTTTCATTACATTATGAACTTGCTGGTACACCAAACATAAAGGGTTTAGGAGGAAAAAATGTTTTATGCAGAGATCATGACTAAACTAGTGTTGAAAATACTACTTGTTCTTAAGCAATTACTAGATTTTTTTATCCGTGTTTTCAAAATGAGGGATAAATTTTTGTGAAAACATGATAAAATAGTTTTTTCTCTTTATTTAAAATATGCTTGAGTATAAATTTATAACCCAAAGTCCAAACTGAACCCAACTACAAAAACTCTATCCAATATCCATATCCGGTCTGAAATATAAAAAATGTCATAAGGGATCTTGTAGGGTGGTAGTGGTACAAAAAATATCGAAACCCGAAGTTTTATCAGCCAACCCAAACCAATAACCGGAAAAAGACTTGTAAAGTTTTGAAAAACTAATCTGAATATTCAAATTAATCACAAATATAAATATTTTGAAACATAAATATATAATTCAAATATTTAATTCTATATTTATTTTTGAGTGATATCTAAAAGTAAATATATAAATTTTAAAAAGTACCTTAAATGTCTTGATTATATATAAATAAGTATACATTTCTTATGTTTTACTTTAAAATTTTAGATTAAACTTTGGAAATATCCGAACCGAACCAGTATAAACCGTATTTTAATGATATATGATTACTTTATGGTTTTAAGAAGTGATAGATATTAGAGTCAAAACCAATATATTATATCCAAACCCCAATCCGTATTTACAAATTCACCACAATGAAACCTAGGATCTAATATAAATTAGAATTAAAATTCAAAATGCCCAACTCGTATCCTACGGATACCTGAACGTTCAGTCTAACTTAAAACCTAATTTAGATGGTTTAGAAATTTTTATTCAATATTTTTATTTACCCAAAATATAGATTATAGTATATATATATATGTACTTTTATAAATTTTTTTTTAAAATTATGTTAATTAAATTAAAATTTGTATAAATATAATTTTATGAAATAAGATAATTCATTTGTATAAACCGCCTCATATTATATTAATTTTATTTAAAAATAAAGGTATAATATGAATCTATTTTTTTATTGTTTACATTTTATGAAATAATCAGCTAGAGACTATAATTATAAATCATAATATACAGTTCAGTATACCATATATAATAAAATATAATTAATGACAGCTAAATTTAGTATTGTATTTTATATTAAATTATATCCTAATATTTTAATTTAGATATGTATATTAAAATATAAAATTATTTCTCATTTTAAATATCTTATTTTAGTATTTTATTTTAATAAGTTGACTATGTTGTAAACTATATAAATATGTGTTATTCTGTAAATATAATTCATTTAGTCTATAATCTCTAAAGATAAGTAATAAAAAGTAAATATCATGTTTTTTAGATACTTTATAAAAAATCTCATTTGATTTATTTCTATATTACCAAAAAACAAAAGTTGTAACTTAATTTGGTTTCTCCCTTTTTACCGAAATATAAATATTAATTTCACAAAATACCATATATGGAAATCAATAAGAAAGCAAGAGATTATTTTCAGCTAATGTTTTTTTTCGTCTGAACGATAACCATGCTTTCTACTTTCTAGCGGATGCTATATCTATCTCATTACTTTATATAATGGACACTTGTAAATGTCATCAGTTCCAAACTATATGTAGCGTTTAAAACCTAAAAATATGCGTAATTGCGGTATTGAATCCAATGAATGTATTAGGTCATTATCATTGTCAGAAAATCTAGTTGATTTATTTTCAAAAAAAAAAAAAATCTAATAGATTTCTCACAACACATAATAATATTTAAAAAATCTTGTTCATTGAAAATGAAGTGTAGAATAAAATTTTCAAAACAAGTTAGAATCTTTAAAACAAATTCAAGGATCACAGATGTATCACAGATGATGCAAGGTGGAATTTCCATGAACCAAAACATGTTGAGTGGTCTCGGTCAAGGAAATGTCTCATCTGGAACACGTGGAATGATGCCTACTCCAGGAGTTGGCCAACAAACGCAATCAGGAATACAACAACTTGGTGGCAGTACCAGTTCAGCTCCTAATTAATATGCAGTTGTCACAGCCATCATCTGGGGCTATGCAGCCTTCACAATCCAAATATGTAAAAGGCTGGGAGGTAATATCAATTTACCTTGTGTGAAATAGCAGCGGTGGTCTGATGATATTCTTAACTTACATTTTCTAATTCATCTAGGGAAATTTATCTGGGCAACATGTTCTTAGAGCACCCCCATCAAGGGTTGATGGGGGAGTTCACACGCAAACCGAAAAAAAATAATAATATTAAAATTAGATTTCTATGAATTCTTCTATCAAAAGTTCACTGCGGTGAACCCCGATGACTCCGCGTTCATCACGTGTCAACATATGATTGGTCCAATATTAATTTTTTTTTATTCTTTTTAAAAGTAAACGAAAATTAAAAAAAAAATTATTTTTTTATTTGTGTGAACCCCCAAAGGGGAGTTCATCAATGTGGGTGCTCTTATCACCAGACTTGAGGTATGTTTAGGGCATTGACTATCACATGCTTGCTTAATGCTTAATCACATCTTTCTTTTCCTGAGATTTGTTGAGTTGTTGAGTTGCTCCCAGCAAATTGTAATGTGTTTGTTTATTTTTGGTTATCGAAATGCCTTTGCCTCTGATTCGTAAGTTCATAACCAACTAAATTATGAAAGAAATTTTCTTACACCCTTGTAAAGACAAGTTTCATTAGCAGTCAACGCCTTGAGAAATGATTGTTGGCCACCAACCATGCAAATTGTTCGTCTTATATCGCAGGATCATATGAATAATTATCTCTTGCTTTAGCTTTTCATTGGTAGATGTTGTTTTCTTATCACTAATTGTTTTCCATCTGCCTTTGCATCAGGCAATACATTGGCAAAGCTGACTTCCTTGTGTTTCGAGCCATGAGTCACCATGCGTTTTTTAGGACAACTTCAGGATAAGAAGCTTGTAAGTTATTGTTGATATTTTCTGCCCGTTATTTCATTTTCCTATATATTTCATTCTCGTTTATTCGAACTTGATAGCAGTATGATGACTGGTTACTGGATACTGGTTTAATCGACATATGTTAACAAGTTGTACGGGAGATATATCATCTTTTCACCATAGTCATTACGACTCCTACACTTGTAGCCTTGTTTTGATTGCCTAATCGCGTGCCTTGCTTTTTACATCTTTACGTTTAGCTCATGTTTTTACTAACTGTGTCTGCCTCTGAATTGCAGGGTGCAGTCATCTAGCTGCTATCACAGACGCTGTTTCGCTCTGTCTCTGACAAGGCTTGCCGCTTGATTGGAATGCTTTTTCCAGGGTAAGTAAGCACCAAGTAAAATATCTATAGATGGTTTCACTTCACATGTATCCATTAGCTAGTATCTCTTGAGTTTTTACGTCCCAGTTAAATGCTTAAGCAGTCTGTCTAACTATTCTTGCATCACTACTCTCTACATATCCGTTTGATTTTTAAAAAAATCATTTATTAGTTACTGAATCATTTGTTCTTTTATGATGGTTATATCAGGATATGGTTGTGTTTAAGCCACAAATTACAAATTAGCAACAGCAGCAACAACAACAGCACCAACAACAACAACAAATCCAACAGCAGCAGCAACAACAACAACACAACCGGCAGTTGCCACAACTCCAGCAGCAGCAACATCAATTGTCCCAACAAGGTGGTGGTGGGGGGCAGCCTAACATGCCAGGAGCTGGCTTCATGGGATGACGTTTAAAAAAAAATTCTCTTGTTGCTAATTAGTTATCATCATATAAACAAATGTTTTCTTACTTCTTGGTCTAACTCGATGAAGAACATATGGTTTTAGACTACTGTTTAGTTGGTGTCTTCAACCTGAAAAATGGTATCCTCTTGTGAGTCTGAGTATTACCCAAAGCCACCAAACTATTATTGTTTTTGTCTAGAGAAATCTTATATATATTTTTTTAAAAAGGTGTGGTTAACTCTTTTTGGTTATGACGTCATATTTAGCACTCAAAATCAAGAACCTCTTAATATTCGATGTTTATCAGGTTGACAAGGAAATAGAAGATCAAGTTTGTGATTGGATTTTTAAGTTTGTTTGTAGATATGAAGGATGCATGTACTATATACAATATCAATCAGTAATTATTTAAAATAATTTTCCGAGGTTTATGGTTTAATTACACTATTGTCAAACTAGGATTTAAATGTCTCAAATAATTTTTTTGGATGTATCTTCATTATCTTCTTTTGTTTCATTCTGCTTTAACGTATAGTTAATGTATCTCATTCCAATTAGCATTTGGTATCTG